TGAAAATTCTATGGGGTTGCATGCTATCGATCGATACTGAAAATATCGATTTTTGTCTGGGAGGCTCGGATTCACTTACTAATCATACCATAGATTTATGGGGGGTGGGGGGGGTGGGGGGGGGGGGGGGGGGGGGGGGGGGGGGGGGTGGGGGGGGGGGGGGGGGGGGGGGGGGGGGGGGGGGGGGGGGGGGGGGGGGGGGGGGGGGGGGGGGGGGGGGGGGGGGGGGGGGGGGGGGGGGGGGGGGGGGGGGGGGGGGGGGGGGGGGGGGGGGGGGGGGGGGGGGGGGGGGGGGGGGGTGGCTGCGTCAACGAATCAAATTCGTATTGGATCACCAGGTGGGAGCAAGGTCGAATTGTGGGGTGTTGAGTCGGGTATTTGAATATCGATATATATCAGTAGGCTCAAAAAGGGCCGTGGTGTGAGGAAAGCTGAGTTATGATAGGTTTCGTTGGCAAACTCCGTCCTAGTTTTTAAGGTACTTTCGATACCTTCGCCGAGTAGGCGCGTGGGAGCGTCAAATCTTTTACGTACGCGTGGCGTTGCCACGTGTTTCGTGGTGTTCTGAGCTTGTGGGCTGAACGAGACTTATGAGGGTGTGTTGTGCGATAATTGTATATGATATGTGGTGCACGCCACTCGAGGACCTCTACGCTCCGCTACTGTGGGGCGTGGCGAGTCACTCGTAAGTTTTGAGGTGTTGTGTGTCAGGGAGCACGTCAGATTTGCGCTCTGAAGCCGATTCATTCTCTGATAGGGCTCGGGAGTAGCTTTCTGCATACAAGTGTGTATGGGAGTTTTTGTTACTTACTGAGTAGGACAGGCCTGGCGAGAAGAGATGAGGGTGCACCGACAAGTTGGGCTGGTGGTAACTGCGGGGATTCTCGGATTTTGGCACTGCAGTTGCTATCGAGCGTTGACCCTTTGGTTCCTTTGTTGTGGGGTTTGGGGGCGGGTGGCAACCGTAGGTGATGCGGTGGATAGGGCCGTGGAAAGGCTGTTGCTGCTGGGGTCTCTCGTAGGCGAGCTTCCTGATTTCGAGGGCGGGCGGATGGTCCCCGCCTCCGAGGTCTGTATAGGGGCGGGTTCCCATGTGTTCGCATGTGGGCATCGTGTAGCTGACTCATTGCGTCCAGCGATGCCTAATTACCTAGGACTTTGAAGGGGTTGATCTGTAGACAGTAGCCGTAATTTGTCGCAAATCAGACACAGCAGAAGGCTCAGCGCGATCCATCTCTACAGCATGGATGGCGAATTAAGGTGCGCCGTCGGATTGTCGCGTGCTTCGACACAGTTTCCGTGCTGCGGGATGGGTGTGGAGTTGGAACGGGGGTGATAGATGCTCCAAAGTTGGGCTGGTGATCACTTACAATATTTTTGTAATCGCTCATAGTCAGTGTCTTGCGGGATAACCTTGCGGATGCCACTAGGTTCGCATGTTTCATCTGTCCGTCCGACTTGCTAGCTTCTGTGCAATGATTCCTCTACTAAGGGTCGTCAGGGCGTTGAATTATGACGGCGAGTAGGAAATTCCGCCCACTCCGGTGACCCTGCCCGACAGCTTTCAACCCTCCCTTCTCCTCTAACTTCAGCCCTTTTCCTTCCCGGGTCGCCGGGACTTTTAGGAACCTAGTTATTAATTTCACAGCAAACTCCGCCTACTTCCGACGTTGGCGGCGGCCCGACAAATCGAGTTCGACTGTGCGGATCGCTCCGCTTAAACCCTGTTTCCACATTTGTTCCGGTTTGCGGTAGGACGTCTAGAGTCAGGCGCGGTCGGTGGTGTGGAGAGTGGTGGGCATAGATGCTCCCGACTGCGGGCGGGGTTGGTTGCGTGCCCAGCGTCACACTAAGCCTCTACTCCTGCCTGTGCACTTCTTACTGACACAGTTTTTCAGGTTTGCTGGGTCATCAGGACCGAATGTATGGACGGGGGGGTCTCGCTTGTAGGGCACTGAAATCGAGATTCCGTATCTTCGTGGCAAAGCCGATTTGGTGCAGTGCTCGCTCGACCGAATATCAGTTACTTTTCAATTCTCTTCCCCAAGCCTTTCTCTTTTCTCCCATCTCCGGAACTTATTGGAACCGAGTTATGAAGTACCGTGGCAAACTCCGCCCACTTTGGTGCATGCTCCGCCCGCCAACAGCGGTTGACCCCTTTCCCTCTGCCAACCCTTATACGCTTTTTTCCCGGACTCCGGGACTCATAGGAACCGAGTTATGAGGCTGGTTGCAAATTCGCCCACTCTGATGTAAGCCATGCCCTTCCCTGACATTTAGCTTCCCCTCCCCTCCTGACCTCTATCCGTTGTTTTCCGGTCTCTAAGTCATCTCGGAGCCGATTTATGAGCTCTTGTAGAAAATGCTGTCCGCTTCACGACACGCTCCGCCCATTGTGGGCGGGCCTCCGTTCACATCATGCGTGGTGGAAATACCTTAGGCATTTTCTGCGTCTCTAAACCGAGTTCATGAGTTATTTGCATGAACGTACCGCCTTTTTAGAGGGACCCGCCCGCCCGGGTGCCCACCGAGGGTGGGTTCCCCAATTCAATCTGGCTTAGCAACGCACACCTACACCCACTTTTGTCCCCAGTCTCGAGGCTGTTTTGTGACTGAATTTGAAATCATGGTCCTCAGTACCACTCATTTCGACGCACGCCACGCCCACTGTGGGCGGGGCTCCGCTTAGGTAATGTATGTTTTTTTTACTTCTCGAGATATGGTACACCCATCCCAACAGCTTGCGACCATGCCACCGCTGGGCTGTTGTGTCGCTTTGAAATCGGACATTCTCGTGACAGGCGGTAAAGTACAGGACAAGTCACAGACAGGAGCAGACAGGGACAGACAGACAGACAGACTAGACAGACCGACAGACAGACAGACAGACAGACAGACAGACAGACAGACAGACAGACAGACAGACAGACAGACAGACAGACAGACAGACAGACAGACAGACAGACAGACAGACAGACAGACAGACAGACAGACAGACAGACAGACAGACAGACAGACAGACAGACAGACAGACAGACAGACAGACAGACAGACAGACAGACAGACAGACAGACAGACTTAGCGCATTATACAGTAGTGGCCAGAAATTTATGAACAAACGGTTTTTTCATGATTTCTTCTCGCAAAATCGCTGAACGTCTCCAAATTTGCAACAATTATTAACTACGTGTTTTATGATCCACACAAAAATTTCAACCTTCAGCTCAAATTTGGGTTTAAAAATTTTAGATTTTTCGAAATTAATGAAGGCAGGTGAAAGATCACTTGATCCGTTTATTTGATTTAAATAATGTATAACCCAACAGAACAGTCAAGTAAACAGTCACTAACATTAAGCAAGTCTAGCACATTGCCCAGAACTCTCTAAAGTATTGGATACATAAACTGGGATTTGAATGCGGGGTCAACTAATGAACTCACTCTCTAGTGGGGTCTCTCTCTGTAGTCCCGTATTTTCGTGGCTCTTTCATTGACATACGAATTTGTAGGTCCTCCCTAGTGGTTCTGTAATGTTTGGCTCAAGAGTCTGGCCTGGCTGGTCTTTTAAAAGCACCCCATGCTGTCGAAACCACTCCTGCATGTGAGAGGCCCGATGCTTTGAGTCGCTGCTCTGCCGACAGACAAAGTCAGGTCGTGCGGCAGCCATGTCTACGGATACATGACACCTTCCAAAACATGACAGCAAACGTCTGCCTTCATCGCTACCTCAGTCGTGTAGCGTGGTCCCACTTTTTTCCAAGGCAACCTTATCAAGCCTCCGCCAAGTTTCACAATTGGCAGCTGATTCTTTGGATCAAAACGTTCCCTCTCGTGGTGCCGTACATTACTAGTATCCTTGCTGTCATGCATCAGTAATATGTTTTTGTCATTCCAGATGACCTTAGAAACCTGTATCAACCTTCGTTTCAGGCTTAGTCAATCACATTCTACTCCCACCCACTTCACAGCGAGCGCTCTTCTTAGACTTTGAGAACTAAGGAATACGTAGTATAGACTTAGATTCTAGAAGATGTTATGTATCCGTAGACATGGCTGCCACACGACCTGGCTTTGTCTGTCAGCAGAGCAGCGACTCAAAGCATCGTGCCTCTCACATGCAGGAGTGGTTTCGACAGCATGGGTGCTTTTAAAGACCAGCCAGGCCAGACTCTTGAGCCAAACATTACAGAACCACTAGAGGGAGGACCTACAAATTCGTATGTCAATGAAAGAGCCACGAAAATACGGGACTACAGAGAGAGACCCCACTAGAGAGTGAGTTCATTAGTTGACCCCGCATTCAAATCCAGTTTATGTATCCAATACTTTAGAGAGTTCTGGGCAATGTGCTAGACTTGCTTAATGTTAGTGACTGTTTACTTGACTGTTCTGTTGGGTTATACATTATTTAAATCAAATAAACGGATCAAGTGATCTTTGACCTGCCTTCATTAAATTCGAAAAATCTATTTTTAAACCCCTGTTTGAGCTGAAGGTTGATATTTTTTGTGTGGGTCAGAAAACACTTAATTAATAACTGTTTCAAATTTGGAGACGATTCAGCGATTTTGCGAGAAGAAATTCTCAAAAAACCGTCTGTTTATAAATTTCTGGCCACTACTGTATAGTAAGGATAAAGCAGAAGTTTGGTATGTTTGTATGTCTGTCGCCGCTAGGGGGGTATATATCCCGGTTGAAACGGGAAACTTCTCTACTTCCCTCATTCAGTCCTTCACCCCAAAATACATAGGAACAACTCCGTTACTTTAACCTTCACCAAACCCAAATACGGCCCCTCCCGAACAACTCAAATACCACTCCCCTAATTGAGAACTGCGAAACGCACGTTAACCCTGCCACGAGAGTCCATCCTCTTCAGCCGTGTTTCGCGCGCGGTATCGTGCGCAGCTAAACTGGTTTTTTAAAATGCTGATTTTACTGCCCTCAATGACATTTTCTTCAGCATCGATTGGTGGGCACTTTTCCACCACCACTCTTCCATGGACGACAACTATCAAAGATTCTCCCAAGTTGTCCATATTGACCTTTCGTCTTTCGTCCCTTTCAAATTTCCTAGATCTCGGGTCCTCAAATGTCCCGTCGAATTAGCAATCTCCAGCAGCAAAAAAAACGTTTTTTCACAAGCTATGTTTCCCACTGAGTAGCTCCCTCTACAAAGGTGGCCCTGATCTCAATCATCATTTGCGTTAAGTTCCTATCTAACTATGAAGCAGCCTCGGATCTCAGGCGTCGCTACAGCAACTTTTCCGCTACTATCAATACAAAGTGAAGTCTAACCATCTCCACCTTTAGATGCCATAGTGGACAGTATTCCGTAGTGATGTGGAGAAAGCCTGAGGCACTTGCCAATTATTTCTCAAATGTCTTCTCATCGGAGTATTCTGATAGCTGGCATTCGACTAACTCCCCTATGTCAGTGAATGTTACACTGTTTGCGGCTTACACCCAGATACTGTTTATGCTTATCAAAAAAACTCCACCCATCCACGACTGAGCCTTACGATGGAATTCCTCAACTAGTGTACAAGAAATGCCATGCCTTCCTTTCTAAGCCCTTGACTATTATGTTTAACCTTTCCTTCCTTACGGGTGATCTTCCTAAACTGTGGAAGCATGCTATTGTGACTGCAATTCAAAAGTCGCCCAATTCAAACTTGCTGAGCAATTTTCCGACCGATTAGTCCTACACCGACTCCTGTCCAAGTCATGGAGAAAATACTTGGCTTTCGAGCCACCAACCTATCCCCTCAGAGCGATACGGCTTCATCCCGGACTCCTCAACCACCACCAATCTTTCTGATACACTACTTGACCTTTCCAAAGCTCTCAATGCTGGCAAGTTGATTGATTTAATATAGACACACATTGACCTCTCAAAAGCTTTTGATGAGGTCTGTCATCATCAACTGTTGGTAAAGCGGGAATAGTTAGGGGTTTGAGGCAATCTTCTAGCATGGTTCTCCTCGTACCTGCACTGCAGATACTTCTCATTCCGATTGAAAGTGTGGGTTGTCGAACAGGGAGGACTGTTTTCTACTGTTCTTTTCTGATATATACACTGGAGTTACCCAGCCTTCTTAAGACATCTCCTGATATCAAGGTACAATTGTATGCTGATGACATTAGATATACGGGATCTATAATCGGGATAATTGTGGGATGATCTGTGACGCTCTGAGGGTCTCCATTCAGAGAATGGTTGATTGGAGCAGTTCCATTGGGATGTCCTCCTCAACTTGAATAAACCCACGTTTATGCGTATTGGTGATTACGTGAACGGTGTCGAGCTTGCAGTTTGCCAATCCACCAGAGATCATGGTGTTCTTTTCCGACCCGGAACTCGATTTTTCCCTCCACATCAACCATGCTGTAGAGAAGGCGTCCAGTAATCTATTTGTCTTGTTTCGCTCCCGGATGTGACAACACTGACGCGCCTTTACGTAGCATGTGTGTTGCCCCATATCGAATATTGTTCCCAGATGTGTAGCCCGTGCACCGAGAAAATTGTTCTCAAAATTGAAAAAGTTTAGCGCGTCTTCACTCGCCTCTTGTGGTACAGAACTACGCACAGCTACTCGCCGCATAATCTACCCACTTACGATGCCATGCTTAGGTTGTTTGGGCTTAAGTCCTTGCAATGTAGGCGTGCATTCTCTGACTTAGTGTTCTGTTTTCGTATTCTTCGTAGTGAATCGACGCTATGTTCAAGTAAGTACTGGATCTTCACACCCACTAGCTGTAGACGGGGTGGGTTTAATCTCCATTATACTTACTCTGATGCCAGGCACCGCTCCCTCATCTTCAATAATGTCTTTTATCGCTGCGCTAGATGATTAATCTGTTACCTCGTGATGTTCTCGCGTCAGTTAAGAAGATTGAAAAAGTAAATCTTGAACAGATTCTTGGTATCTTCTCGTGACAGTCTTCCAACCATATCCTTCTTTCCAGTTCTGGCCTCTCGACTGGTCGGTTGCGAGCTTTTGTGATGTACCTTCAGTTTTCCTGCTGGAAAGCTATTAGGTTGGTCCATAAGTCTTGCAACAAATTACATTTAATGCTAGAAATTTTTGTGAGAACTCCGAAAATTCCGCAACATGTTTGCTGACGTAGCATCCACCTTTGCAATTTCAGCCAACCGTTCGTCACGACACTTGTTACGGCCGATTTTGCGGGAAGTTCTTCGGGTATTAGTACTCGGGTTCTTTGGGTACGAGTACTGCTTGGAATGTTCCGCAAGTCATGCTACACCAAGGATTAGCCAGAAGATGGGCGAGGGCACGCTCTCTCAATTCACGGTGCACCGGCGCTTCACTCTGCTCAGCGTTGACTTTTTTATTTGAAGATGATCCACACTCCAACCACCCCGTGACTGGCAATCACGATGCTCTACCTGACGCTGTTGAAAAGGGATCTGGATAGACTATCGATCATTTGCCAGAGCAATTCTGGGTGACAGCACTGAGGCATCTCCAAAGACTTGTAAAGATCCGAAAATATAGAGTTTGGATCCCACATGCCTTGAGCCCCGATTCAGCTCCAAACACGATCTGACATCGTCATGTTCAAGTCGACTTACTAGGGATTCTTCGATTGACCATCCATCACATTTGCCGAAGATGAGGAGGGGTACAGTGTGCTAACAAATAAACAAGCGGCGGTAGTCCAGCTCAAACGCTTCGGGAGTTCTTACTGCTAAGTTCAACCTCGTCCAAGTAGGGCCTTCTCGGATTTTTGGTGGAACACGAGAGGAGTTGAGCTCTGGAAACCCCTACGTGTAGATGTCGCAGTCAACGCGAAAGTCTATCCACAGCTCGAATTGCAACGCTTTTAATACGAAAGAAAAACAAGGCAAAGTTTGCTTTTGTATGACACCGTTGAACCACCTCTTGCTAAGAAAATCAGAAAATTTTGAGAATCTCGGAGGGAGAGTTGTTACATATCCGCGCGCTTTATTGAGCACGGACGAACAATTAGAGACACACCAACTACTGAGGCTTTTATAGGCCATAGCCGACCTATCACTCAATAACAAATCTAGTGTAAACACAATGACAGTTTATCACTGGCCAAGTCTATGGTAACTGTCCTATGAAGAATAACCGGCCATCTACAACACCTCCCCCTAAGATGTAATGGTGGGAGTGAAAACAATACACGACTACATTCATCTGATAAAATATCATTTGTCTACAAGTAGGACTTCTTCATAGGCTTGATCTGCAGTCGGTTCGGCGGTCGTCGATTGCGTTGTGGTCGTCCATCTGATGAATTGACTCCACTTGGCATTTGGCCGGATTTGGTGTGGTGTGTTCCGTATTTCTGGCAAAGTCATCATGAGAGTATGTATGTATGTATGTATGTATGTATGTATGTATGTATGTATGTATGTATGTATGTATGTATGTATGTATGTATGTATGTATGTATGTATGTATGTATGTATGTATGTATGTATGTATGTATGTATGTATGTATGTATGTATGTATGTATGTATGTATGTATGTATGTATGTATGTATGTATGTATGTATGTATGTATGTATGTATGTATGTATGTATGTATGTATGTATGTATGTATGTATGTATGTATGTATGTATGTATGTATGTATGTATGTACCATCCCTAGCCCCGTTACCTCAAAGTGGTGGGATGGTGTAAACTCACTCGATGAAAAGATCACGCGTTGTCGCCGGAGCAACGACGTGTCGCGTGAGGCTAAAAACGGGCCCCCTCTTGGACAAGTCCACTTCCGGCAGTGGACTTACCGCCAGTTATGGCTAGGCGGTGGGGGTATGTCCAGGCCACCAGCATCTATGACTGAAGTTGAAGAAGAAGTACCCTCAGTCCCGTGCGGCCACCGTCCTTTATGGCAGAGAGGACAACGGCAGAGGGGGAGAAATCTCACGGAAAGCGATCTGCCAAATGGTTTCCTAAATATTGCCACAATAAATACTCGAGGACTTGCTAATGATGCTAAAGTTGACCAGTTGATATCAGAGCTGGACAGATGTGCGGTGGACGTGACGTGCATACAGGAAACGCTAAGGCTTCAGACAGGAACGTGGAAGTGGCACACAGGTCACGAGGTAGTCTTGGGAGCAGGATCGAGCAACGGAAAGATTGGTGGTGTTGGCTTTGTTATAGCCCCACATCTAAGATCGAGGATATCCTATTACGAAATATATTCTGAAAGAATCGCGGTGCTCCTACTTGAATTAGGCGTAAGATCGACGATGAAGATAATATCAGCCTATGCACCCACTGGAGCCTACGACGATGATGCGGTAGAAGAATTCTACGACTCACTTGAGAAGGCGATAAACAATTCTCCAAAAGGAACTTACATCGTATGCGCTGGAGACTTTAATGCCCACCTAGGCCAAGGAGATCCTGAAGAAAATTTTATAGGACCCTTTGGAATAGCAGAAAGAAACAACCGTGGAGAAGCTCTGGCTCAATTCAGTGAGCGATGTCGTTTAGCAGTAGCAAATTCATACTTTCAAAAACGACAAGGACGTAGATGGACATACATACCCCGAACCAGACAAATGTTTTACGAAATAGACTTCGCTCCTAACCCAACTCCTGAACTTTTCATAACTGTGACGTTCATCGGAGCGTCGCACCACTTTTAACATAGCCTCAGATCATCCGACTCAGTTAGAGTCCACCCAGTTGCCAGTTAGCTCAAAGACGAGCGAAGACGGCTGCATACCACTCGCGGCGATATCGATACATACTCTCAGAAGAAAAATTGAAATCGCTCGCTCCCACTGCTGACTTTTCTGCTGAACATGGAAATGGACCCACAAGATATGAAAAACTGGTCTCTACGATTCGAACTGTTATCAAAAATGCTTCCGAACGTGCTCAAAGGAAACCAAGAGAACGACTGAGTGCTGTCACCTTGCAAATGTTGGCCACTCGGAAGGAACTGGGAAAGAATATGGATCCGGTAGCCCGAACTGTACTAAATAAGGCTATACGTTATAGGGTCAGAAACGACTACAAAGAGTACGCAACGCGAAGAGCGAGAGAAGCAGCTGAAAAATCGGCAAGCATCAAGAAAACACTAATCGCCACTCGCCTGAAGACAATCACTCCCGACTATCTGACAAAAGAGGATGGTTCAGTGGTGCGAAATCGTAAGGACATGGAAGAAGAGATACAGAACTTTTTTCAAAATTTGTTCTCCAGCAAAGTACAAGTGCAGCCATACACGTTGTTATTCGGAGATGAAAATGATGTATTCGAGAGAGAAGAATTGCGAGTGTTAGAATCGGAAGTGGCACAAGCTATCCGGCAAACTAAAGGAGGGAAAACACCCGGGCCAGACCAAATTCGAGCAGAACACTTGAATGCCTACAAGAATATATCACGCGTCCTCTAGCTGAGATATTTACGGAAATACTGGCATCAGGAAGTGTCCCAAAAGATTGGCTTGGTTCCAACACTATTTTGATACATAAGAAGGGTCCACGTGATGTTTTGGCTAATTATCGCCCAATATCGCTTCTATCGATAGTGTTGAAGGTCTTTTCACGCGTCATCCTTAACCGCATCCGTCAAATTCTCAACACAAATACATGTCGAGAGCAAGCTGGTTTTCGTGAAGGATTTTCAACTATCGATCAAATCCATGTCGTCTCCCAACTTACAGAAAGATGTCGGGAATACCGCATTCCTTTATGCTATCTATTCATCGACTTCAAAAAAGCGTTTGATACGGTGGAACATCAAGCAGTACTGAACGCTCTTACGGCTTTCGGAATTCCTCGAAGATACATTGAAATAATACGACAATGCAACACAAGCTGCTACACTGACATCAACTTACTCAAAAATCCGATCCGTGTCAAGATTCAACGAGGAGTACGACAGGGAGAAGTCATCTCTCCAAAACTGTTCTCTGCTGCTCTAGAGCTTGTGATACGAAGTATACGACTGCCTTGCGGCATCGATATAGATGGTGAAAGGCTCCAATACCTGATGTTTGCGGATGATATCGTTCTCATTGGAAATGATCCGAGCGAACTTGAAAGTTCATTGGAGATTCTTAGCAATGCGTCACGCTCCATTGGTCTTGAAATTCACCCAGGTAAAACCAAATGGATGAAGAATAATTTTACAAGAGACTACTGCATACACATGAATGATTCAGTCATTGAAGAAGTCCCGTCATACGTATATCTAGGCCAGGCAATCACAATGGACAACGATCTCACAATCGAAATAGGACGTCGCCGTAAGGCAGGATGGGCAACATTCAATAAGTATCGTTGCGTTCTCACTGATAAAAGGCTTGACGCTCAGATCAAAGCCCGAGTGTTCAACACCCATGTCCTACCAGCTTTGGTATACGGAAGCGAAACTGGAGTACGATAAAAGATGAAGAAAGAAAATTGGCATCAACGCAAAGAGCCATGGAAAGAACGATGTGCGCTGTGACATTGAAGCATAAAATTCCAGCACGTGAGATTCGAAGGCGTACCGGCGTAAAAGATGTCATCGAGACCATTTACGATTCGAAGAAGCGATGGGCAGGACATGTTGCCCGTCTTAACGACAACCGTTGGACATCACGAGTGACCGATTGGTATCCCCGCGGAGTTAAAAGGCCGCAAGGAAGACCCCCAGCCAGGTGGAGTGATCCCTTTTAGGAAATTATTTGGACAGAGATGGCAACAAATGGCAAGAAATCGAGACGAATGGCATAGATGCGTCCTGCAAGGATGGCGAGACAATCCCTTGAAGAGCGGACATCAAGGTCAATTCAATGTATGTATGTATGTATGTATGTATGTATGTATGTATGTATGTATGTATGTGTATGTATGTATGTATGTATGTATGTCCGTGTGTCCGTCCGCAAAATGAAGTGAGTGAGAAGGAAGCTCATGGGATAAACAAACCGCTAACAAATCGGGTAGCTACAGGATTTATCAATGTTTTGTAGCAGGATAATTGTGATAACACTCCTAGGGCTATATAAACACCTGCTTAGCACACTTCCGGTCATTCCACATGGTTTTGTAGTTGCTTGCGCAGAAAGGAAGATCCCGGCGGTTGACGGGGGACCAATCTGGTCTATACATACGGAATACGTTTTAGCTTAAAGGCAAGATTCAGGATTGAATTATGAGTTAATTCCACTCAAATGTGAAAGTAGGGGTAGGTAGTGGACCGCCAGTGGAGAAAAAGAAAAAAAATCGTGAAATACACAGGAAATACGAGCCTTTTGCTCTACGCTGCGGAGAAGTTCAAAAGGCCGGCAGGGAGATGAGAGATAATGTGAGCGCGGAGAGCGCTAGAGAAGTCGAGTAGAGAGAGCATAGCAGATCAACATTGCGACGCAGACAAGATATCGAGCGGTGGGCGGAGCGTGTCGCACAGGTGGAGCGTGTCAAAGTTCTTAGCGCCTAGCGTCTAAATAACGCTTTTCGAAGTAGGGAAGTGACGCGACCCTACACTTGCGTACCTAGCGCTTCTAGCCACCGTAAAGGCTCATTAAGTGGGTCTGAGCCCGAACTTTGCCTTTAAGTTTTCATCGAGTCTTACCGAAACATCCGCTTACATGTAAATAGCATTCAAACAAGTCTATACCAATTGAAGGCGAGGAGCCCCATGATCCGATAAGCAACGTGATAAGCAACACTATATAAGCTCGATCTTTAGGTAGGGATAATTTAACTGCCACGTAATCGGCCATGGTCGTGGAGTCAGCTGTCCTTCGTCTTATCTTCATTCTGTGCGCCTTCTTCCCGGTGCATGAGGGCATCGATACTGATATCGTCGAAAGAGCGAAGAATGGAGATTGGGTCCCAATCCCCAGTGACGAAGAAGAAGCCCTGATTAAAGTGAGTCAGACGACGCTGTTTCTATTCTACATCTAGATGATGAGAATCAATGAAGTTTTTGCTTCGTGTTGTCGTTTTCAGATAGTTAAGGCTCGAACAGTCTTCCCGGATGGTAAACTTTCCTACGAGGAAGCAGAAAAGTTCTGCGTCGAAGATGGTGCTCACTTGGCATCTATCCATACGAAGGAGGAAGGCCAATTCATTATAGGTCACGATCACTGTTTCTGAGCCACTTTAATCAAAAGTGTTTCGATTTCGATCAGTTAAGCAAGCCGGTCTACTTTCAAGGAGCGGTCATGATGATTTGATTTCATTCAATTACGAAAGGGACGCGTCGCGTACGGGCAAAATAAATTAATCTTCAAGAATACAAGAAATGGTTTGGCAGTCCATCTTCTGCACCTTTTCACCGCTTCGTTCGGCCCCCGGTTTTCGAGAGCAGATGGTTTTCAACATTTACTAGATGAAATAGTGATAGTATGTGAGCGAAGAAGAATCCAGAAGCCACCATCAAAATGCGAGAAGTTGGGCTATTGCTCCGCTCGTTATCCTCGAGTAGTTATATTGTGTGTGTGTTGATGTGTGATGAGTTAGATGTGGGCGCTATCACTAGATACGGGGCGTTGGGATGGCAATGTATTCAAATTGCGTGAAATGTCTCCTTTTTCAAAAAACGGGACTAACATAAGCCTTGGAGGTAAGCTCCGGGATGAACTGGTGTACAAGAGCACTTTGTAGACCGCGTTCATCTCACGACTTCAGAGATTAGGGTTCCACGCGACAGTGAAAAAGATATGTATTAACATGGACATTAGGAGAGTAGTACATGGATTGGGCTAGGAGAGTAGGATAGTACGCTTATCCTACTATGTATAATTCGCTAAGTATGTCTGTGCGTGTGTATATGTGTGTGTGTACGTCTGTTTGTCACGAAATTCGTAGCTCGGGTCACAGTAATGATAGCGCCATGGTTCTTACATATGTTATAGGGGTTTGGACGGGGACACAAGTGGTTTGTGAATGTAAAGAAGTGGTC